TTCCTTCCTTCCTTCCTTCCTTCCTTCCTTCCTTCCTTCCTTCCTTCCTTCCTTCCTTCCTCATTTCTTACCATAGGCTTATGCTATAGCCATCAAATGATAGATACTGGCTTCTTGTACCCATTATGGCTTAGGTTTTTGCATACTGAAATACTTTTTTAATAAGAAAGAGAAGGAATAGACTAGCTGTCAGCCTTCGCTGTATCTATGACACAGGATACAAATTCTATGATAACGGAAAAGGTAACAGTTTTGACACACTTTACCTCAAAGTTCAACCAAACCCAGACTTAGGCTATTTCCGTGATGGCGAACCTATGGCACACATGCCAGAAGTGGCACACAGAGCCATCTCTATGGGCATGCAGCCATCACCCATTGCTCTTCCGGATTCCAGCACACTGGCCAGCTGGACTTCATGTGCACCTACGCAACAAAAACCAGAAGAACCCAGTGTGCATGTGCATGCTGGGAAGATGATCTTCTGGTTCTCAGAGCGTGCATGCGCACCAGCCACCTGGTCTTTCAGTTTCTGGAGCAAGTGTGCGCTGGCCGGTGTGCATGTGTGCCAGAAACCAGAAGATTATCTTCCCAGCAGAGCTGCCAGCCAGGCAGTCTGGACCACGTCCGCACGTCAGTGCCACGGGCTGGAGGGCTGGGGTCATGCAAGAAGGCCACTCAGGCGGGAAGGAAGGGAAGCCCCAGCCCGTCCATCCTGGCCGGCAGCTCTGTTCCCTTTGCTCTTCGGGTTCCGGTGCGCCAGCCAGCTCAGGCATGGGGCAGTTGACTGCCCAGGCAGCTAACATTGCCCCACGTGCTGCTTCTGCCACCACTGGGGGAGAGAGGGTGGTGGTGATTCACACGCGCTGCCCTGCTGCCCCAGAAGAATAGCAGTTGTGGCCACAGGGTGAAAGGCAGGAGCGAAAAAGGTGCTCCTTTTCAGTGCTGAAAAGGTTTGCTAACACTGGGCTATTTTGTACAATAGTACTATTTTGTACAATAGTACTATTTTGTACTATTATGATTTTTAATTTAGAGGTACAGTGTAGTCCACATCTCATCACTTAGGAGTCATATGCAGTTTGCTGACACAAACTTGGGGTGCCAATGTAAACATTGCTATCATTTTTCAGACCTCTAAAGTGAGAGATCAGATCAAGACTTTGAACTTTTAAGTGTAATGAGGCATTCTCCAGCACAAGCCTGCTAGCATTTATTATCTATTCTGGACTGTTGAATCAAGGGTAATTATTAATTTTTAATTAACAGCATGAATCTTTGCTTGAATACTTGCAGAGTGCTTGTTCTTGGCTTAGCACACTTCAACACTCAGTTGCTTCGTCAGCATTTCCACAACCATGGCTATAAGTGGCCTCTTGAGCCTTGTACAATTTGTCTATATGAGATATGGATATTATTATTAATGGTGAATAGAATGCAGAGCAACATGGGATGTACATTCTCATTAATACAGGTGTTACGTTCCTATTAAACACAAATTAACCTACATTTTGTGCAAAATTGTCCATCTTTTCTGTTCCCAGAACTTATCACAGTATTTTATCAAGTAGCTGCGTCAACAGAATATAGAAAAAAGCTATTTAGGAACGACTGAGAACTTCTGACCATTCCACTGACAAGCTTTTTTTTTAGTTTAAAAAAAGTACATTTGTTTCGGTTGCACAATCTTTGAATACCAAAGCCTTTAGCAGCTAAAAAGCCCGAGGATGAAGTAAAAGGGTTTTTTTTTTTCCTGTCAGAACCCC